ATCTTTGTGGTGGGATGCACAATCCTCTATGCTCTTGAGATGCAACTGAATTCAGCCTCAGCATAATGGGCTCAGAAGGAATGAGTCCCTTACAAGTGGACCCCTAGGCTGGGCGTGGTGGCTCACACCTGTAATCCCAGCACTTTGGGAGGCTGAGGCAGGTGGATCATGAGGTCAGGAGTTCAAGACCAGCCTGGCCAAGATGGTGAAACCCCTGTCTCTACTAAAAATAATAAAAATTAGCCGGCCATGGTGGTGGGCACCTGTGATCCCAACTACTCAGGAGGATGAGGCAGGAGAATCACTTGAACCCAGGAGGCGGAAGTTGCAGTGAGCTGAGATCGCACCACTGCACAGCAGCCTGGATGACAGAGCAAGACTTGGTCACAAAAAACAAACAGCCGGGCGCGGTGGCTCAAGCCTGTAATCCCAGCACTTTGGGAGGCCGAGGCGGGTGGATCACGAGGTCAAGAGATCGAGACCATCCTGGTCAACATGGTGAAACCCCGTCTCTACTAAAAATACAAAAAAAATTAGCTGGGCGTGGTGGTGCACGCCTGTAGTCCCAGCTACTCGGGAGGCTGAGGCAGGAGAATTGCTTGAACCCAGGAGACGGAGGTTGCGGTGAGCCGAGATCGCGCCATTGCACTCCAGCCTGGATAACAAGAGTGAAACTCCGTCTCAAACAAACAAACAAACAAAAAACCAGAGTGGCACTTTGAGGAGGTCAGAGAGTCAGGGCTTTATTGACATCATACCAGAAACCTATTTTAGTAGTATTTTTGTGGCAAGGGAAGTAGGCACACATAAATTCTGTCTTTTCTTCCCCATTCTTGAGAGCATCACTCTTGTCACTTGTATACCTTATCACTTCTACTCTTTCTTTTTTAACCTTTTGACCTATTTGTTTTTTTTTTTTTTTTTTTTTTTTTGAGATGGAGTTTCGCTCTTGTTACCCAGGCTGGAGTGCAATGGCGTGATCCCGGCTCACCGCAAGCTCCGCCTCCTGGGTTCAGGCGATTCTCCTGCCTCAGCCTCCTGAGTAGCTGGGATTACAGGCACGCGCCACCATGCCCAGCTAATTTTTTGTATTTTTAGTAGAGACGGGGTTTCACAATGTTGACGAGGATGGTCTCGATCGCTTGGCCTCATGATCCACCCGTCTCGGCCTCCCAAAGTGCTGGGATTATGGGCGTGAGCCACCGCACCCGGCTCTTTTGACCTATTTGTACATGAACTTGTACTCTAATATCCATTCTCCTATCTAGTCTTCACATCCACTACCCCACGTCCCATTTATTTTACATACGTTTCCATCTGTAGTGGTCTCCAGTATTGGCATGGAGGTTTTGTGTTAGCAAATATATTCAGTTTGTTAAACTGTCCTTGACCAATAGCTGCTATGTTATGCTCGTGTTTTTTTTAGCTTGGACAAATCCCTCTGTATAGTACTCACATGTCATCAGGAGATAAAAGTCCTGTAGATGAGTGGTTTGCAGATGCAGGAATTGTAGACGCTGCCTTTACTTCCTGTGTTACCTATGGTGCCCTTTACATGATGATGCCTCCTACATTCTGTGACCTTTATAGTCCAGTAATAATAAATAGCACCGTCTTTCATCTGAAGCCAACATTCTGTTCCTCCAAATACTTTCTTGGAGTAATTCCTCAGTTCGTCAGATACACTTGTGGGTGGTCTGTGCCTTCCCACTAGAGTTAACATGCACTTCACCAGCATTTTCTTGCTTTCAGGTTGTTGGTGTGGAGTGGAAGATGAGGAGGCACCTTCTAAGCAGAGTATTTATGTGCAGAGAGAGACTCAGGTCAGGACTCCTACAGCAGGTGTGTCCCCCGAGAAGGCTCACCCCTGTGAGATGCATGGTTCGATCTTGGGGGACATTTTGCACGTGGCAGATCATCAGGGAACACATCCCAAGCAGAAAGAGCACAGGTGTGAGGCATGGGGGAGTCAATCGTATGACAGTCCAAACTTTCATCAGCACCAGAATCAGTACATGGGAGAGAAACCCTGTAGAAGCAGTGTTGAGGAAGCGTCGTTTGTGAAGAGGTATAAGTTCCCTGTGTCAGAGGAGTCATCTGTCTTCAGTCAGAGTGGGAAGGACTTTTTGCCCAGGTCAGGATTACTTCAGCAAGAGGTGATTCACACTGGGAAGAAGTCAGACAGTAAAACCGAGTGTGAATCACCCTTTCACGGGGGGAAAGCTCGTTACAGCTGTGCAGGATGCATGAAACATCTTAGCACCAAAAATGTTCTTGGTCAGCATCAGACACGTGCCCCTAGAGAAGAATGTTACGTGTGCTGTGAATGTGGGAAATCCTTTAGCAAACATGATAGCTTTAGTAATCACCAGAGAGTTCACAGTGAAAAAAAACCCCATGAATGTGGAGAATGTGGGAAATCTTTTAGTCAAAAGGGTAGCCTCACTCAACATCAGCGGTTTCACACTGGAGAAATACCTTATGAGTGTGGAGAATGTGGGAAACATTTTAGTTCAGACGGACATCTTAGGAGCCATCAACGAGTTCACGCTGCAGAAAGACCTTATGAATGTGGAGAATGTGGGAAATCTTTCAGTCATAAGCGCAGCCTTGTTCACCATCAGCGAGTTCACAGTGGAGAAAGAACTTATAAGTGTGGAGAATGTGGGAAATCGTTTAGTCAAAAGGGCAACCTTGTTCTACACCAGCGAGTTCACACTGGAGAAAGACCTTTTGAGTGTGGAGAATGTGGGAAATATTTCAGTTCGAAAGGACACCTTACGAACCATCACCGCATTCACACTGGAGAAAGACTTTATGAGTGTGGAGAGTGTGGGAAATCTTTTAGTCATAAGGGCACCTTCATTTTACATCAGCGAGTTCACCCTAGAGAAAGACCTTATGAGTGTGAAGAATGTGGGAAACGTTTTAGTTCAGACGGACATCTTAGGAGCCATCAACAAGTTCATGCTGGAGAAAGACCTTATGAATGTGGAGAATGTGGGAAATCTTTTAGTCATAATCGCAGCCTTATTCTTCATCAGCGCAGTCACACTGGAGAAAGACTTTATGAGTGTGGACAATGTGGGAAGTCTTTTAATGAAAAAGGACACCTTAGGAATCATCAGCGAGTTCACACTACAGAAAGACCTTATAAGTGTGGGGAATGTGGGAAATGTTTTAGTCACAAGGGCAACCTCATTCAACACCAGCATAGTCATACTGGAGAAAGGCCTTATGTGTGTTGGGAATGTGGAAAATTACTTAAGAAGAAGTCTCACCTCCTTGCACACCAGAGAATTCACACTGGAGAAAAGCCATATGAATGTGAGGCCTGTCAGAAATCTTTTAGGCATAATTACCAACTCATTGCACACCAGAGAGTTCACACTGGAGAAAGGCCATATAAATGCAATGAGTGTGGAAAGTCCTTTACCCACAGTTCTACATTCCATGTTCATAAGCGAGTTCACACTGGAGAAAAGCCTTATGAGTGCAGTGAATGTGGGAAATCTTTTGCTGAAAGCTCCAGTCTCACTAAACACAAGAGAGTTCACACTGGAGAAAAGCCTTATAAAAGTGGGAAATTATTTAACAAGAAGTCTCACCTCCTTGTACACCAGAGAGTTCACACTGGAGAAAAGCCATATGAGTGTGAGGATGCTCAGAAGGTTTTTAGCAATAAGGACCACCTCATTGCACACCAAAGACTTCACAGTGCAGAATGGCTATATAAAATTCAATGATTGTGGGAAATCATTTACTCAGAATTCTAAATTCTGCATTCATAAGAGAGTTCACGCTGGTCAGAAGCCTCAGGAGTTCAGTGAATGTGGGAAATCTTTTGCTGAAAGCTCCAGTCTCACCGAACACAGAAGAATTCACACTGGAGAAAAGCCTTATGGGTGCAGTGACTGGGGAAAGAAATTTAGCTGAAGCTTTTCACTTCTTCACCATCAGAGAGTTCACAAGAGAAAAGCCTTAGTGTAGTGAATGTGGGAAAAAATCTTTTGCTGAAACTTTCAGTCTCATTAAACACAGTAAGGTCTTGTGATTGCAGCAAATGTGGAAAAAAAGTTACCTGAAGGAAGGTCTGCTCTCCTTGGACATTAGAGAGTTCACACTAGACAAATGAAATAAATTTGGGCAATTTTGTGGCCACACCTCTCAGCTCCTTCAAGATCAGAGCATTAACATTGGATCAGGGCCTTACTAGTGTGACAAATGTGAGATATTTATGTAGAAATCTAGCTTCATAACACACAGGAGAGTTCCCACTTTAGAAATGCCTTTTGAGTGTAATGAATGCAAGAAAGCCTGCAGCCTTCTAATTGGAACCTTGAACACTGACATGAGAAAAACACCATAGATGTTTACGGAATGTTATTTCTTTTTCTTTTTTTCTGTTTTTTTTTTTTTTGAGATTCATATTTTATTTACAAGTAAATGAAGAATGTCCCTGTAGACTCTGATTCGGGATACAAAGAACAATATAAAGTAGTTGCTGGCGCCACAGTGACATGTGGAGGAGTCTATGGCACTGTTTCTTGAAACAATGATTTTGTTGTTTAAAAAAAAAAAAAAAAACCCACCTACATGATTTCTTCATGTTGCATGTGTAAAAGAATGAAAAATAAGGCCGGGCGCGGTGGCTCAAGCCTGTAATCCCAGCACTTTGGGAGGCCGAGGTGGGTGGATCACAAGGTCAAGAGATCGAGACCATCTTGGTCAACATGGTGAAACCCCATCTCTACTAAAAATACAAAAAGTTAGCTGGGCATGGTGGCACGTGCCCGTAATCCCAGCTACTCAGGAGGCTGAGGCAGGAGAACTGCCTGAACCCAGGAGGTGGAGGTTGCAGTGAGCTTAGATCGCGCCATTGCACTCCAGCCTGGGTAACAAGAGCGAAACTCCATCTCAAAAAAAAAAAAAAAAGAATGAAAAAGAAAAGTGATTTTTCAAAACTCTACAGTCTCTGATCAACTGTGTGAGGTGGCAGGATGTCACTTTCACTCAGTGACAGCCCCTACTCTTCAAGAGCAACAGCCTCTGGGCAAGACTTAGTACTCATCCAGAGTATCTGCTCGAGGAATGGAAAGACCGCGGTCCTTCAGGGCCTGCACTTTCAGCTTCTCTGCCTCCAACTTGGTCTGCTGTTCCACCCTTTGCTCTTCTAGAATTTCTTCGATGGATACTTGCTGGAGGGGTGTGTCACTCTCCTTTTCCAAGTCCAAATTGATCAATGCTTCTTAAAAAGCCTTTAAGTGTCCTTCCATCTCGAAGCAGGACCAAGTGCTTTTTGTCAATGTCCTCGATGAGGCTGGCGGTGCCGGGCATATAGTTCATTTTGAAGAGAAATATCGCTGCACAGCGGTGGGGGCCAGCGCGTCCAAAACCTCCGCCCTCCTACCGAAGTCGCCGCCTCGGCGGGACTGACCCCGGATCCCCGACCCAGACCAGCACTTCTGCCCCAGCTTTCAGCCGCCGGGGCCTGCCGGAAGCTCCTCCATATTATCATTTCTTTTTCATTATAACATTGGGAGAGCTCCTTTGAGGGTGCCACTTGCCTAGATTGAATGCCATTTATTGAACATCTGTAAAAGTTGCAAGCATGTGGCAGTTGCTGCGCAGTTTTCACTCTACCCAGTTACCTTACTAGATTTTTTTAGAGACAGGCTGTCACTCTTGTTCAGGATGGAGTACAGTGGTGCATTCACATTTCACTGTATCCTCGATCTTTTGGGCTTCAGTGACTCTCTTGCTTCAGCCTCCTGAGTAGCTGAAACCACAGGGATGTACCACCATGCTTTGCTAATTTTTTAAGTTTTGGACAGACAGGGTCCTGCCATATTGTCCAGGCTGGTCTTAAACTTCTAGGGTCAAGTGATCCTTCCACTTTGGCCTCCCAAACTGTTGGGATTACAGGTGTGAGTTACTATGCCTGACCTTTTTTTTTAAACATGTAATTCCTGATCTAGTTACAGAAGGATTTTTTGAGTATCTTTGGCACTTTGTCATTTCTTTCTGTCTGGTAAGTTGTGCCATGGACAGTACTCATTTTTATCCCAGAGGACTGTTGATTTGAAAAGATAGATTGTGTCTTTCAGAGATCTTGTGGGTGTCACATCAATGTTGACAGATTTTCTGCCCTCCAAGTCATGATCCTAAAAACAGTCTGCCTCCCATTTATCTGGTTTATGCTATTATGAAGGCCTTATTGTTTAACCCTTAAATAATGGGGGTTGCTATCACTGTATGGGTGGTTCGGAATCAAGTAGGTCCTGTTACCATGAAGGGATCACAGCTTTTGTTGGCATGACTAAACTCTTTGTGGCTCAAAGGACAGTATGAATGCAGAATATAGCTTTCTCCACCTGTGGACTGTTTTACATAGCTGCCAGAGGCCTCCAAAGAAGACCTTCAGGGCTTTGTGGTCTTTATCTTTAGCATGGATACTACAATTAGTGGGTTAATAGGTCAGCTGGGTACAGGGTGCTTTTTATGACAATTTGTGAAGTTTCTTGAACAAGACAAAACTCTCACTTTTATGAGGTATATTGCATTGTACTTGGTACTGCTGGGAGAAATCTGTTCCCCAGCTCTTGCAATGCAGACACATGCCCTGACACCTTGAATTCTGTAGGATAACATCACAGGTTGTAATGCTCTAGGGGGAAATTATAATTTTATAGAATTACTGCATTTATAGGCAATTGAGGAGACAGAATAATGTGGTTGCAACACATTTTTTAAATTTTTTTGAGATAGAGTCTTGCCCTATCGCCCAGGCAGGTGTGCAAGGGCACAATCTCAGCTCACTGCGACCACTGCCTCCCAGATTCAAACAGTTACCCTGCTGAAACCTTCTGAGGAGCTGGGACTACAGGCACCCACCCCCATGCCTGGCTAATTTTTTTTCTATTTTTTTTTTTTTTTTTTTTTTTTTTTGAGACGGAGTTTCGCTCTTGTTACCCAGGCTGGAGTGCAATGGCGCGATCTCGGCTCACCGCAACCTCCGCCTCCTGGGTTCAGGCAATTCTCCTGCCTCAGCCTCCTGAGTAGCTGGGATTACAGGCACGCACCACCATGCCCAGCTATTTTTTTTGTATTTTTAGTAGAGACGGGGTTTCACCATGTTGACCAAGATGGTCTTGATCTCTTGACCTTGTGATCCACCCGCCTCGGCCTCCCAAAGTGCTGGGATTACAAGCTTGAGCCACCGCGCCCGGCCTTTCTATTATTTTTTATTTGGCACTCGTTCCACATAAGTTTATTTAAAAGAGTAAAGCGGCCGGGCGCGGCAGCTCAAGCCTGTAATCCCAGCACTTTGGGAGGCTGAGGTGGGTGAATCACGAGGTCAAGAGATCGAGACCATCCTGGTCAACATGGTGAAACCCCGTCTCAACTAAAAATACAAAAAATTAGCTGGGCGTGGTGGCGCGTGCCTGTAATCCCAGCTACTCAGGAGGCTGAGGCAGGAGAATTGCCTGAACCCAGGAGGCGGAAGTTGCGGTGAGCCAAGATCATGCCATTGCACTGCAGCCTGGGTAACAAGAGCGAAACTCCGTCTCAAAAAATAAAAAAAAGAAAGAAAAAGAGTAAAGTGCAAGGCAGTCTGGATAAGAGAGAATCTGTATTATAAATGCAATCCCCTAAGACTGGACAACATGCACACATTCCAGATAGGAACAGTGAACCAGTATCCCTTGTAAAGTGCAAACACTTACTTCTAGGTTAAGTACACTACAAATAATTGTAAGCAAAATTTCTAAAAGTCAACTACCTTTAGCTTGGGGCTAGAGCAATCACCTAACTCTACCTCCCATACCTAGCATCAACAACTTCCTTAAATCTTAGGCTGAATTCTCCCAACAAAATACTTCTTTTTTTTTTTTTTTTTTTTTTTTGAGATGGAGTTTCGCTCTTGTTAACCCAGGCTGGAGTGCAATGGCGCGATCTCGGCTCACCGCAACCTCCGCCTCCCGGGTTCAGGCAATTCTCCTGCCTCAGCCTCCTGAGTAGCTGGGATTACAGGCACGCGCCACCATGCCCAGCTAATTTTTTTGTATTTTTAGTAGAGACGGGGTTTCACCATGTTGACCAGGTTGGTCTTGATCTCTCGACCTCGTGATCCACCCGCCGCGGCCTCCCAAAGTGCTGGGATTACAGGCTTGAGCCACCGCGCCCGGCCGATCCAACAAAATACTTCTAAGCTTTCTTTGCTGAATAAAAATGGCTCTGCTTTTCCCGTCACAATATTGTTGATTTCTCAGTAATCCAGGTCCTTTAACCCCCAAACTCAATTGGCCTCATTTAAATGCCACCCTTCCCTGAACACTGCCAAGTGCTTTTTTGAGGGTTTGGCCAGGAGGTAAGGGTGGCTGCTTCTACCTATATAAGGCTACAACTTTCTCAGCTAGAATCCTGGGGATAACTCCCTCTCACTTTTCTTCATAACCTGTACCTTCCCCGAAACTGTTGCCTCTGTCTCCCTTAAACCACACTCTGATGCAAACTGTCCCCAAAGTGCAGTAGCACTTGAGCTTCTCTGTGCCCCTCGCACCTATCAGCGCCATCTCTAATACACCGTTCACACCTAGACCCGCGCGTCACCCTTTTCCGGGGTCGTTCAGAGCCACCCACCACGCGGCCTCTCCAGAGCACAGCCTTCCTCTCCGTCCACATCCCAGCCTGTGCATCTGAAGGGACCCAGCCCCGCTGCGGGGGAGGGCAGGCACACTCCCCAGGGCTGTCACTGACACTAACACCTGCGCCCTGGGAGGCAGATGGGGGTCAGGGAGGAGGCCGGCGGGAGCGAGAGGTCTCCGGAACAGGCTTGTCTTCCCCTCCTTTCCAGGGGTGGCGGACCCCAGTCCCCATCCCCCTCCCAGGCCCCTGGTCTGGGGTCACCACAGCCGCGTGGTGTGGCGAGGGCGCGTGCCCGACGCCGTGGTGCCTCGCGTTACCCGATGCCTGCTGGTGGCCGAGGGGTCGGGGTAGGGTCGAGTCCCTGGTACTGGGCGGTGCCGAGGGCGACGAAAAGACTCAGACTAGGGGACTGCGCTCAACTTCCCGTCCGGCCGCTTCCTCGCCTCCGGCTTCCAGCACCTCCCAACGCCGGTTCCCCACCCTGCACCACCTGGCTAATTTTTGTATTTTTAGTAGAGGTGGGGTTTCACCATGTTGCCCGGGCTGATCAAGAACTCCTGACTTGGAAGTGATCTGCCCGGCTTGACCTCCCAGAGTGCTAGGATAACAGGCCTAATGTATGTCTTCTTTATTTGGAGATGGACCCTCCCTCTGTCGCCAGGCTGGAGTGTAGTGGCACGATCTTGGCTCACTGCAACCTTCGCCTCCAGGGTTCAAGCGATTCTGCTTCAGCTTCCTGGGTAGCTGGAACTACAGGTGCCTGCCACCACAACTGGCTAATTTTTGTATTTTTTGTAGAGATGCGATTTCACCATGTTGGCCAGGATGGTCTCTATCTCTTGACCTCATGATTCACCCGCCTCGGCCTCCCAAAGTGCTTGCTTTATAGGTATGAGCCACCACACGCCGCCCAATGAATGTCTGTTAAAAGGGCATCCACAATGATCCAGGCACTATGTATGTGATGAATATGTAGATACCGGAATTACCAGGACCTCTGTAATGATGAATGTTGTTTAGTTGAGGCCATTGTCAGAAGGAATAATCTAAATGTTTTGTGAATTCCCGTACCCTTTCTAGGCTGCTCACCTCAAGGTCATTCCTGCATTAGCAGGAGGAAGACACTAGGGTAAGGGGAGCTGAGTTCAGTGATGTGGCCTTTGTGATTAGCCAGCCAGGTTAAGCAGGTAGAAATGGCTTTCCTGCCACATCAATATTTGTTCCCTGGAGGCTAGTTGTCCTACTGAGGGCATGAGAAGAGTTGGTGTAGTCAGTATGGAGTTGCCAAGCCTGTTTGCCCAAAATGATGGTAAATCTATATTTTTCTTTTGAACTGCATTTTATTTTATTTTATTTTATTATTTTTATTTATTTATTTTTGAGACGGAGTTTTGCTCTTGTTACCCAGGCTAGAGTGCAATGGCATGATCTCGGCTCACCGCAGCCTCCGCCTCCTGGGTTCAGGTAATTCTCCTGCCTCAGCCTCCTGAGTAGCTGGGATTACAGGCACGCACCACCGTGCCCAGCTAATTTTTTTGTATTTTTAGTAGAGACGGGGTTTCACCATGTTGACCAGGATAGTCTCGATCTCTTGACCTCGTGATCCACCCACCTCGGCCTCCCAAAGTGCTGGGATTACAGGCTTGAGCCACTGTGCCCGGCCCTATTTTATTTTATTTTTTTTTGAGACAGGGTCACTGTTGACCAGGCTGGAGTGCAGTGGCATGATCTCGACTCACTGCAACCTCTACCTCCCAGATTCAAGTGATTCTCCTGCCTCAGTCCTCCTGTGTAGCTCGAATTATAGGCGTGGCACGATGCCTGGCCAATTTTTGTGTTTTTTTGTAGAGACAGAGTTT